CAAGTTCAGCCAAATTAGATCTGGAACTGGCACGATGAGGTTGAGATGCAAAGACTGGTTTCCATCGATAGTGAAGTACCGGCATTCTGTTTGGGGTATCAAAAGCGCCCATTAATATCTCCGCCAGTTCAGTAGCTTTATCCAAGAGAGCCTGGAATTTTCCTCCGCTAACATCATATGCAGCTAAAAGACCACCGAGATATCTAATGGTAGTTTCAAATACTGGTATTTCCATCCTTGGAGTGGTGGTGAAATCAATCTTTTCAACAGCCTTAACGGCCTCTTCAAATTCATCATGAAATCCCATAATCCATAATGTATCCAATCCATCCACCAAAGTTGCTGCCCATCCGCAAAATGGATCTCGAAATTTGGTCGATACAGGGGAAAGTTCATCATGACCCCATGCGAACTTCTTGTAACCTTTCCATGACCTCAAGAATTCCTCCTTGACTTTATTTTGCCTCTTCTCCCGAGTAATTTTTGCGTCCGTTGTCTCGTCATTGAAAACATGTTGAATCTTGGGAATTGAGATTGGCACACCAGTTGGCAGATTGATAATACTTTCAGTAGGTACTGGGAAATGTTCTGCTTGCTTAGACCAGTGAATGGTAGTAGGTGCTGCTGAGAAAACAGGAAAGTCCTGTCTTCCATCTGGCGCAATTGGATGAAGATCTTCAAACCCTGTATCCTCGTAGACACCTTGGGTTGGTGGCTTCCTGTCTGGAAGAGTATATTTCGGCACAGTTGTATCTATTGTTTGAATCGCAATAACATTCGAAGTGGTCGATGTACTGCTAGTTGTGGAGGATGTCTTTTCTGCGACCTTTGGTGCCGGTTTAATTTCATCCTCTGCAGGCTTCAATGGCTCTTCTGATTGTTCTTTCAGAGTTTCCGGTGCAATTGGATGGCCTCCATTTGGTGTATATGTGTATGGTTCTCCCTTTTCTGATGCAAATTTCGAGTCAGGGATGTCGACAGGGCCTCCTACAGTATAACTTTCCCAATCCCTTATGTGTGTAAAACGAACGAGAATGGCTGTTATAAAGACGGCAAAAATAAGCAGAGCACGGTATCTGCGAATTCGCAACATGATGCGAATTGCTACTTCGTGGTCTCTCGACCAGAAGTTTTAGCAATTGGAAAAGAAAGAGTGGTGGTACTTGGGGGGTCGGAGGTGGTGTCGCGTGTTCAGCGTGGAATAAATGTTGATAGGTTTTGAACCAATAATATCCTCATCACGCTTCCAAGCTATTAATGCCACAAGTAAGGACTCCGAGTCTTCATAGGTATTTTGTCTTAAAGAATGTTGGTGACGAGTACTTTACTCCAATAGGAATTATCTGGCCGAATCCTATATTCCGTTGTGTGAAATGGTGAATGTATAGTCCTTGGGTCCTCGAGGGATTGTCGACTTTGTAGTTGCTACATGACATTACTTGTACTCTCACTCTCATGTACGGAGTAGCACGCTCATAGCTCTTGGCGTTTGTTATAGTTCTTTTAGAGTTCAGTGGATCCCTCGAGGACAATTGGAGCAAGTGGAGGTCATGGCATGGACTCATAGTAAGATACATATTGCTTTTGATAGGTTTGAGTTGTGGCGTCTGAGATCTCAAGCATCCAAATGTGACGAATGAGGAAAAGAGAGATCTTTGATGTGGGGATGAAAGTGTATCAGCTGGAAATTTAGGGGCCGCCATGAATGATTCCTACCTAGGTAGTACCGGTATGATGTACGAGTATCTTCAATATCTCCGTGAAAGGAGTGAATGATGAAACTATTAATATCGCGGTGCCGGTACCTAACCTATCCTATCTATCCACTCTTTCTCTTGTTCTTCCATCAAAGAAACTACTAGGTATGTACGGCGTATACGGCGTATACGGCATATACGGCATATACACACTCACTCGCATTCTTAAAGAAGACTTCCACTCTTCCAACCTTCCAATCTCAATCTTCACACCTTCCATCCTCCCTTCCGTCCAACCCGGCGAATACGAGAAGCCTCCAATTATCCAATCCAATCCATACCTAACAAACATCCCATTCCATTCGGTCCCGATGATCCAGCGAGCACTCCGTACAAAGTACTCGTAAAGTAGAAAAGGGAAAAAAAAAACATAACCCTGAATATAAGCATCAAATTAATCAATCTCCCCCCCCTTTTAATATCTGAATAAAGTGGTTCTTTATATCAATTTCTAGAAACCCAACTCCTGGTAACCTAAACTCCTGTAACACGCTCACTCACTTCTCCTGGGAATCAACTTTCCAATTCTCTATCCAGGACGATCCGATCATCCCGACAATCAGGTCAATTCCTCAATTCCTCAATCCATCACCCTCCCATCACTCCTCAATATGCGAGTCGGCACATGACATGATGATAATAATAATAATAATAATAATAAGCAATCAAATCATTCCAAAAGCTCAAGACTCAAGACTCCAGCTCCGACAGCTCTCACACCTCTCACACACATCATCCAATTCGGGAGACGGCCACCTATGCCGCAAATCATCCAAAACATCCACAGCCACTTCTTGGCACGGCAGAGCTTATCCGAAACAAATATCCATCATTACCAAGACAAGAAATGCGGAGAAAGTCCTCTTGGGAGGGGAATTGTTGTAAACTACCTAGGTACATACATATACATCATAATAATCATTTTCATCAAATCATTCATTTCATCTCTATTTACCTAGGTATGAATATGGTAGACACTCTACATGGCCTCTCTAGATACGGTAATAATATACAGAGTGACATCTCAAAACGAATGAGATGCGAACCTATAAAAATACCATGCATGTATTTTGTCTACCTTCCCAATAAAGTCGTTACAAATGATCATTAGGCTTCTTTTATTCATGACTTTATCCATCCATATCACCCGGTCCCTTTGCTCTACCCATTTGACGTGCCTTGAGCAATTCATCACAAAGCAAGAGATTGGATGCAATACCAGAACTCGATGCAACACAATTCCTCAGTACACGGAAAGAATCATATACACCCTCCAAGACTGGATCCATAGGTTCGCCAGTTTTGAGGTCAAGACCGACAACGTTGCCCTCCGCTTGCTCATCTTGTAAGCTAGCAACTGTGATACATATTAGCGAGATGAATAACATTCGGGTGGAAATGCAACTTACGCGAATCTTGAATATCATGACCAGCATTTGCTGCCAAAGTTTTAGGAATAACGAGAAGAGCATCAGCGAAAGCTTGAACACCCCACTTCGCCTTACCCTTGACAGTCTTGCGGAAAGCTTCGCTGTTCAAATGTGCTGCGCAAGCAACCTGGAAAGCACCAGCTCCTGGTACAACGCTCTTGTCTACAATCATGTTGTAAACACTTCGAAGACCATCACGGACTGCATCGGTGATTTGAGTAATGGTGTGTTGATTTGGTCCCTTGATGAGAAGGGTCACGGATTTCGGCTCCTTTACATCCTCGATGAAAGTGTACTTCTCCTCTCCCAATTGATGCTCATAAACATTTCCAGCCCATCCAAGAATTTCAGGGGTTAAATCATCCACACTGTTCTGTGCTGTACCACCACAAATTAATTGTAATCTTTCCATGTTTCTTCGCTTAGCTCTTCTCAGAGCAAAGATTCCGTTCTTAACCAAGACATCGAGCGATAATGGATCAATACCCTTCTGGTTGATAATAACGAAGCCTTTCTTGGGGTCGTTTCCGCAAACCTCCTTCTTCAACTCAACAATTTTTCTCAATTTCTCGTCAACAAAACGACGCTCGCTCTCCACGAGTTTATCTCTTTGTTCCGCGCTCGAATAGTAGAAACCGGAGTTGATTTCGGACTTCTCGTACTCCAAACTGACGTTCAAGCTGAGAATAAATGCGTTCTCGACCTTCTTTGGCATATCTGGATGTCTAGCACCGTGATCTAACGCAAGACCACGAATCAACTGAGTCTCTGAGGCAGTTCTGTGTTGCATCTTCATAATTTCGACCATGTGGAGATCAGGCTTTGCCGGGGCTTGGTAAATCGATAAGACCGCATCGACGATATCAGGAGTGAGCTTTTCCGCCAGGGTGTGGTTAAGTTTCGTAGAAAGGGAGGTTCGCGCAACGCAAAGTAAAAGTTCACGGTCGACTTCCTTCTCAATTTTAAAAGTGTCCAAGAACTGCAAAGTGTCAGTATTACCCCGCCAATAGTTGATATGCTACCAACCTTCAACGCTTCTGTCTTTGCAATCTCATAACCATCTGTGATAATTCTGGGATGTAAACCTTCGGAAATATATCTATCTGCCTGTTTCAAAAGCTCTCCTACGAGAAGAACAACTGAGGTTGTGCCATCACCACAAATATCATCTTGTGCGGTTGCTGCCCGTGCAATCATAACTGCCGTAGGGTTTTGTATTTGCATTTCACGTAACAGAACGTTTCCATCCTTTGTAAGTTTTATCTGCGGACCGATTATCAGAGGGTTATATTCGTTGCATCAATAAGGCTTTCATACCGCTCCAGCACCGTCAACCAACCTTTAGAAATGTTAGCATATCCTAGGCTCAGGGGAGGACGAAAACTAACATTTTAATGGTTCCCATAGGACCCAAGTTTGACTTTAAAACATCTTGTAAACCTTCACCTGCACTGATATTGACTTTCAAAGCTTCCCCTCTTCTCTACTACAAATCAGTAGCTGCACCTCAAATTTAGATAGGAAAAATCATACTCTGGACTCCGCCTTTGGGTTCAATAGTTGTGCGGCAGACATTCTGACAGAATACAATAACTTCGTATGTAATTAAAATGAAGTTATATGGCGTTATCGTGGCGAGAAGCTGTGTATTTTGTCCCTCAACGTCGCGAGCTTTTTTTTCTATGGGCGACGTGAATTCCCACACGAGGTTCACGCTAGTCTCAATTTGGTACTACGGCGAGGCTACCACTTTAAGCTGCAAGGCATTGTTTACGCTGACCACGAATCTGTTAACACATAATTCTATCAATTATTTGTTCATTGTTTATTCAATATTTTCAAAATGTATCGAGGCTGGAATCTCGTATTGGCATTTATTGTCACTCTTCTCTCTGGAGAAAGTCTTGGGTTTTTGTCATGGCCATTTAAATTTCAAGCTGTTGCTGAACAAGAGCCTATCATAGAATCAACAACGTACGAGTATGCGGATAGTCATGCAAAACGAATTGCAATTATTGGTATGTATTGATATTCCTTTCCATATCGTTATCATCAATGTTGCAGTGTGATCTTCCATGATGATCTTCCCTTTATTGAGAACAACTTTTGTTATAATTCCTGTCTTTCAAAGGGGACCCAAAATAGGGGTATTGCCCCATCCCTTAGCTGGCTACTATCTATCTGTTGCCTTCGTTTCTCTTGCATATTACCTCGAGGTTCATGGAAAGCTGCATACCCATCAGATATTACAACGATATATACTTCTATTTAGCTTCAAAATACAAGCAATATCCCGATTGTCTTTCACTAACAGAATATCAGGTGCTGGAGCAGGCGGGTCTTCCTCGGCATATCATTTACAGAAGTATGCTGCTGAATCCGACCTTGCAATTAATGTAACTGTTTTCGAACGATCCTCTTATATTGGAGGTCGTTCGACCACAGTGAACGCATATGGTAATTCATTGGAGCCCGTGGAATTGGGAGCTAGTATCTTCGTTGATGTCAACGTAATTCTAAAGAATGCAAGCCGAGAATTCGACTTGCATGCAAAATCATCCAATACCGAAGTAGCTGAAATCCTTGGTATCTGGGATGGCGCAGAATTTGTTTATACTCAGAAGGATAGCGATTGGAAGTATTGGGACATTGCAAAGATGTTTTGGAAATATGGACTTGCCCCATTGAAGACTCAACGCTTGATGAAAACTGTGGTTGGAAAGTTCCTACAACTTTATGAAGCACCATACTTTCCATTTAGATCTCTCACGGAACGGATAGAGGAACTAGACCTCAAGACTGTGGCATCCGTCACGGGCGAACAGTTTTTGGCTCAAAACAATGTGAGTCTAAATGTATGTCCTATCGTGATGAAACTAACAAAATTCAGATTGAAGGATCATTCACAACTGATCTGATTCAAGCATCTACTCGGGTCAACTATGGTCAAAACCTAAACGTCATTCATGGCGTAGAGACCATGGTTTGTATGGCAATCGAAGGCGCAATGCAGATTCAAGGTGGCAATTGGCAAATCTTTGACAACATGATTCAATCCTCAAATGCCACTGTTCGTCTAAACCACACCATCACCGAGATTTCCCAAGTTCGAGATCAAGAAAGGTACAATGTCAAAACCATTACTACAGATGCTGTCGGTGTTTCTCATATTAATGAAGAACCATTCGACACCGTCATTATCGCCGCTCCACTTCAATACACCGACATCAAATTGTCGTCTGACCTCCTTCAACATACCCCCGACGAGATCCCCTACGTAACCCTTCACGTAACCCTCTTTACCTCTCCCTATGGCCTCAACCCAGCCTATTTCAACCTCGGCCCCACTGAAGAGGTCCCTACCACAATCCTCACCACTCTCCCCAAAAATATCCCCGCTCCTACTGATCCCAAAGACTTCGCCGGCCCTGTTGGCTTTTTCTCCATCTCCACTCTTCGCAAAGTTATCAATCCTACCACCCTCGAATACGAAAACCTTTACAAGATCTTCTCTCCTCGCCCCTTGACTTCCGAGTTCCTTTCCTCAGTCCTCAACAGCGAAATCCCTGTTCCTGAAGACCTTACCACCATTTCTCCCACAGCAAATAACACAATAACATGGTACTACCCCCACGTCTGGAACTCGTATCCATACGAATACCCTCGCGTAACATTCGAAGAGATTCAACTAGCGCCTGGTATCTACTACACTAGCGGTATCGAATCTTTCATCAGCACTATGGAAACAAGTGCATTGATGGGGAAAAATGTCGCAAGATTAGTAGTTGATGATTTTTTGAAAAGTACAGAAACCAACTCAGAGCCAGCTGCCGAGGAAATCGAAGTAGGGAATGTAATTGTCGAACCCGAGATCGGTGTTGGTAACGACATGCCTGTAGTTGACGAATTATAATCTTCTGTTATTCCTGGGTTCCATAGAGACAGGCGTTAGTTCTTTGCAATTCTACCTCGTCTTTTCTATTGGAGAGATACCTAGGTTTGTATTACTTCAAACAAAAAATAGCTCAGGAGAACGGAATTTCATTGAAATCTGATACTATACTACCTATCTAACATTACAATAAGATATAAAATTCAATTTACTTTCACTATACTTTCAATATATGCCTTCAATATAGCAGCTTGACTAAAATACCTAAACATCGCTTGGACTCTGGCCATTCGCGCATAAGTCCCCCAGCACAGCGAACAATCTTTTCCTCCTTTCAAAATATGCCCTCTAAAGTAATCGAGAAAGTTCGGTCCACAACCTTGAAATCCATTCCACATCTCAAGCCTCATTATACCAGTTATCATAGTTATCTTGTTCCCTTCTAACCACAGGCTTTTTCGGACTTGGTCGATTCAAAGCCCACGGCGTGCTCCTCTCCACCTCCACTTCTCCCGTTCCAGGCGAAGGTCCCGCACGCCGAACCATCAGTTTCCCCGCAGTATTGATTCTATATTCCTTTCCATAAAACTTGGGAGAGTTAGGTTCCTCTATTCGCTGTCTCTTTGCATCGCGGTAAGGCGCCACACGAAGTTGTTTACGTTTACGTGGGACTTTTCGGCGTTTGGGTTTTCGGGGTATGCCTCCAGGTCGTCTCTGTGGGGCGATATTGACAGGAGCAGGGGTCTTTATCCAGGGACCAGCTTCTTGTTCTTCGGGTGTGCGCATTCTTTGGACGCCTCGCTCGATGGCCAAGGCCCTTTCGAATATTGGTTCTAATTTTCTTTTTCCTTTTCCCTGGTTGTAGGCGCGTTGATCTCCTCCTTTCGGATAGTATCCTGGATCGACTAGATCATCTTCTGCATCATCCTCAGGGTCATCTTGTGGATCATCAAAGTCTGGCGCTACAGGATCTTGCACCGGCTTTCCATCTGGTCCGACTGCTCTCCAATTAGGGAATGCCGGGTTGCGTATCGGTTCTCCCAATTCGAACGGCATTTCTCTATACCCCATTTGAAGCGCCTTGCGAGTCGGAAACAAAAGATCAGAATCATCATAATCATATTCATCTTCGGCCGGTTTCCACCACCTTGGATTACTGTAGTCTGGTCTTCGTGGACGCCTCTCCCTTTGCAACCTGATCACCTGCATACCTTCATCTTTTTTTGATCCCCGAATAGCGTCGGGATATTTTTCATCCCACCCATATTCCCCCCCATAAATGCCTTCCAAAAACAAGTCATGGCTATCGCCAAAATTCCAAAAATCTACAGATTCTTGTACCTGTACTAGTAAATCCCGTACATCCGGACGTGCTCCGGGGTGAAGTGCTAAAGACTTTAAGATCAAACCCCTAAATCTCCTACTATAAACTTCTAGTTCGGGATGCAAGAGATATCTGCCCATGGTTGAGAATGTTATATGGGGGTCGGGGTCGACTCCCGTCTCGAAGATCTCATTGTCGGGCACAGGATTGTTATTTACTAGGCATTGGTAAATAACATTAGCGACATTCCACAGGTCGGTTGAGGTGCCTATTACGCGGTTTGGGTTGCTGACCGCATATTGCTCCTATTAATGAATTAGTTTGAGTGACATGAATGGTGAGCCTGATCGAAAGCGGAGCTTGAAGTGCAAGGAAAACTAATGAATAAGATTCATACAGGTGCATGATAGGTGTTGCGTCCTTGAGCTATCTTGAGCCATGCTCGTCGTTTGACACCATTTCTTTTCAATTCTTCAGCGTCAGGAACTTCAAGTGCGAGCCCGAAGTCAGCAAGCTATGGTTGGCCTTGGTTTAGCACTATTTGGGTTTGAATTCGCAACATTTGAAATCATGAGATTTTGTACATATCTGTACGTGTCTGTACGCACCTTGTGAACTGATATACGTTCATGGCCTGGTCGAGGATTATCACCGATTCTGTTGAAAAAATATTTAGCATTCAGTCCTCTGACAGAGGTTCTGTATATTTGCAATGCACTCTGTTTACATTCGTGTCTCTTGTCTCCAATATGGAAAAGAATATGTATACTAAGACTTGTACTCACAAGACTATACAATATTAGCACCGTTGCTGGCAAGCGAGCTCTGCTTGTAGGAGCAACTTACTATTTGGCCCCTTGATATCAAAATGCGCAATTGGTTGATGCTGACGATCCTTTGGCGCTTTTTCAAAGATTGTGTCATTTGGATTCTCTGTCCCATATTTCAAAACCATCAGTGCCTTCAACAAACATTCCCATATTCTAAAAATATATTCCTCTGGAGGGTGCTGGTACTCGCAGTTTTCGTTCATCCAGCTTCCTAGGTCCCCTCCAGATGCAAATTCTATATAAATTCTTGCGACATCATATTTTCGCCTGAGTTGTACCTTAATATTGGCGTCGCGCTTCTTGTCAGTATCCAGCCAATTCGCATAATCCACAATAGCCCGGTCCTTCTCGTCGTTTGTCCCCTATTTACGACTGTATTAGTAAAGCATAGTACCAGGGTATCTTCCGCTGCAAGCGGTATCTTCTGAGCTGAATCATAAAGGGAAGCAATAGCCTACCGTGCCCATAGTCCGATGATAAGCCTTGTATATCTTGACGATATGGTCACTGTCGTACTTCATAAGACTTTGCATCATCCTACTCTCCTGTTTCAAATTCAAACCTGCGCCTCCTTCCTGTTTAACCACTAACCTCCGCGGCGATACATCTGGGTTATTTCCTCGATATTCAAACAGGGTAGCTATACCATAAGAACCTTCACCCAGACGCTTGACGGCAACCCAGTCTTTACCAATGTGTACTGGAGCCCATCCTTGGCTCTGTTTGAGGTATCTCTCGGCCTCTTCCATAGCTGGATCGAAATTCATCTTGACGTATGATTTTAGAGAATTGTGTTTCAAAGATCAATACATGTAGTTACACATAAAGTCTATCCAACTTTTGGCTTGCGATTCGTTGAGCGTACCTTGGAATTGGAAGGCTTTGTTCAGTGTGTCTTTTCCAACAACACAAAGATAGCATTCATGCTGATTGATGCGTTGGGGTAGTTTCAAACTATTAGAACAAAGAAGATTGTGCATTTCAACCAAATCTACCGATAAGAATTTGCTGCTTTGTGAGAGAAAAGTAGTGGTAAAAAAAACATCAAGCGAGTAAAAAAGGGCTATGAAGCATGTTCGTTATATTCCTGCTTCACGATTATACAGGTTACTCTTCCCAAGTTTACCTAGATTCTCCAAAAGATTCACCCCGAGAGTCCTGAAGAAAATATGATAGTATGAAATGAGAGACACGTTGAACAGCACCCTCATAGGAATGTAGATGATTTGACTTTTATATAATGAGTATCTGCTACTCTGTATTCTCCATCTAAGAGTATTTGTTATATGTAAGTAAGATACCACCTTGATTTCTGCCCCTTGACCAGTTATCAAGTACCCCGACCCATTCACCATCGACTTTTCTCCAGTATAATGCCAGCAAGATATAAACAAAGAAAATGAATAAACTCCACCCTCTAGTCGCAGAGCAGTAAATGCTCGACTTAACAAGAAAAGGGGTAATAACTGCATATTGCCCCTACTGTAATCACAATTCATAAAATCCGTAAACAAGAAAAAGGTTATCGCTGAAAAGCATCGCGCCAGTGTGCATTCAACAATGCATCCACTTAAAGAATCGAACCACTTCTTCACCAGTAGCAATTACAAATTATGATCTCACGCTTCCATCCCAATTCAACTCCCTTACACTAACCTTCGTCCCTTCCCTATCGCTATGCTTCCCCCTTACACTTCCTCGTCTCCAATCCATCAGACTCGATCTCTTTGATCTCGTTGACGCCATTGTCTTTCCCGTTGTATCTTTTGAAACTTTGCTTTCCTTCGATGAGGATGAATTGCTTCCACTGTCTCCGTCGCCTGCTGTGCAGTTTGCAGAATATGTGTTGTTTGCAGAGTAGTATTCGCCATCTACATATACTGCATCGGAGACAAATGTGCTGCGACGGTTTCGACTATTGATATATCGCTTCTCAAGTCTGTAGAGCTCCAACTTTTGGTTGATCATGTCGATAAGCTTAACCATGTTTGCGTTTGTGTGGGTTGTGGGGCGTGGAGTGGTTGAGTGAGATTGATATCGCGGGAGGATTGGCCGTCAGGCAAAATGAAGGAGAAGAGAAGCGAGAGACTGAATAGATTGGCTGGTTCAGAGAATGTAAAGATTGATATTGGAAAGGATAGATAGATCGATTTCGGAAAGAGTATTCTGAGCCTGTCAGAGGTGCTTCGTCTGTGTTATCTGCGAAATGAATACAGGAATGGCTATTCTTGTTCGTAAAGATCAAGTATCAAACAAGTGGTGAGATTTCGTTTGTATTAGGTGAGTAGATGAATGAAGAAGTACAATATTTACAACAGTCGATGAAATTCAAGACTTGGAAATGTTTATGTGCTTGTATATACTTCGAATGTGCGTCGAGTCAGAAATTCTCAAGAATGAATAGATGAACAGACCTTTACTTCACCGAGTTGTTGAGGCAAGACAGAAAGAAAAGAATGCCTTCTGGTCCTTGGCGATAAGCCATATAGAAAGCTCTAGTCTCTACAAGTAAGTGTGCCCCGTAGCTCTTCATCCACAGATTTTCTTACTTGCTTCTGCTTGCATTTCTGCACATTTATCCTGAGATTTCCTCGAATTTGGATACTGCTCCATCCAAATTATCCGAAAACCCACAAGAAATGAGTGAAATACAAGGATTCTACATGAATTATCATTTTATCCATGACAGTCTAAGACAAATAAAGCTGCACTGATCCGATGAAAAGTGGACGCTCCTCATAGGGAGTGGCTCGGAAACTGGCATGGTCTGACCATTCAGATGGAAAGTGTGGATTTTCGTCTAGTATCCAATAATATCAGATCATGATCGGAGGGTTAGACTGGAATAGTACAAGCTCAAAGGCACAACCAGCCGTTGGCACGTTTTCTACATTGAAAGTGGTCAGGGTAGTCCAACTTTCCAAGCAGCCCCGGATGTTTCCCTAGAAGAATTTAAGAGCATGGAAGACGCCATCTGGACCCATCACTACATGATCAAAGCGTTGTCAAATCAAATTTCCTTTCGGAAAAAGGTCTAACTAAGTGCTAAAAAGGCTCTTGTCAGTCTCGCCTTCATTCCCCAGCCGACTTTGTGACTCGTTAGGTCTGTTTTTCTGGATTTAGAACCCGTCTTCCCGAGTAATTCTAAAGTGGGTGCTTGTCTGGATCAATTTTGTGCAGCCCCGAACACAATCATCGTCATGTTCATTCAATTCCATAAATCGTTCATTTGAAATCATGAAACAGACATAAACACTACACGATAATGCGTTCACCTTGAGAGTTGATGCTTGGTGGTCTGTATTGTACAGTGGTTGAGGGGTAAATGTTATCCAGTGTTACGGGGGTTCGAAGCACACAAGAAAGTCTAGTCCCACTTGTATGCAGCCTCGATTGGTGGGACTTTAAATGTGAAAGGGGGTTTACCCTGCGGCATGTATGCATCTGGCCCATTCAAGATAACAAGTTCTTATCGATCAAATCTATCTACTCTCCTCTTTCGAGACGTCGGGAATATTAACCTCTCGTTCTTTACCTTTCTCCGTTTCGGCAAAAAGAGTTTCTTGTACTATTAAAATGGTGAGACAGAGCACACAATAATAAGAATGAAATAAGAAGCTTACCACTCCAGAGATCGGAATATACCCCACCAGTATCAACCAGTTCCCTATGCGTCCCACTTTCAGCCACTGACCCCTCCTTCAGTACTATGATTTTATCGCTATCAAAGATTGTTCGAAGCCTATGAGCAACGAAAACGCTAGTCCTTGATTTCTCTTTCAAAATGCTGTTGATATTTTGCATGAGTGCCTGTTCCGTATGTGTATCCAATGCAGATGTCGCCTCGTCAAAGAATAACAGCGGAGGATCTTTCAAGATAAGTCTTGACACAGCCAATCTTTGCTTTTCTCCTCCAGAAATCATCATTCCCCGTTCACCAACCATTGTTTTATATCCATCGGGGAGTGTTGTGATAATGCTATGAATCTTTGCACGTTGTGCTGCTTCTTTGACTTTTTCGTCAGATGCCTCCAAATTACCATATCTGATGTTGTGTTCAATGGAATCATTGAAAAGTGGTGTGTCTTGAGGAACGACGCCAATGGCTCTCCTCAGTGACTCCAAACTCACATTTCGTATGTCTTGGCCATCAATCAAAATTCTTCCCTCTTGAACATCATAGAAACGGAATAAGAGTCGCAGGACTGTTGATTTTCCACAGCCACTAGGTCCAACAATAGCAATCTTTTTGCCAGCAGGAATGGTCATGCTGAGATTCTTCAGGATCGGACGGTCTGGATGGTAACCAAAGGTTACATTCTCGAATGTAATCTCGCCACCTTTAGTTAGCTGCAGGGGCTTCGCATTCGGAGCTTCCCTGACAGCTACATTGACCTTTTGCAGGTTGAAAAGCGTTTCCATGTCCAATAAGGATTGTCGAAGTTCTCGGTATACGGATCCAAGGAAATTTAAGGGAACCGAGAGTTGAAAGACCAATTGGTTGACCATTACAAGATCACCCACTGTCAAGTTTCCTGTAGCTACACCATCTGCAGCTAAGTACATCATGGCAGTTAATGCACTTGAGAAGATCAAATTTTGTCCACTATTGAGGAATGCTAAAGATGTTGCGACCTTGATGGATGATTTCTCGTAAGCTTTGAGTGCCTGGTCATATCTACCAACTTCGTATTTCTCGTTGTTGAAGTATTTGACTGCCTCATAGTTGATCAGAGAGTCTACAGCAACTGTCGAACCTTTATTATCAGCAGCATTGGCGGCTCTTCGGAATTTTGTTCTCCAGGCAGTAGTCGAGATGGTAAATGCTGTATATCCCACCATGGTGAGAGCTGTGATAGCCGCGAATTTGGCACCATATTGATAGGTCAAGATACCGCAAACCATAGATATCTCTAACACTGTCGGGAAAATATGGAAAACCATAGATGTAAGCAAGAAGCTAATACCTTTCGTACCACGATCGATAGCTCTAGTCAATCCACCGGTCTGCTTCGAGAGATGGAAATTGAGATCGAGTCTTAATAGATGATCAAAAACATTGCAAGCAACCCTCCTAATAGCCTTTTGGGCAACGCTAGCAAAGACAGCATTCCGTACTTCTTGAAACAAAGTAGCTCCAATTCTGGTAAGTCCATAAGCCAATATCATCGATCCGGCGACGGTTGTAGCTGTGCCTCCAAGAGCAGCAAAATCAACATTCATAGCATCGACAATGCTTTTGAAGTAGAAAGGTACTTGCACATTCAACACTTTAGCACCAACTAGCAACCCGAGGGATAATCCAACCCGAACTCTTGTTCCCATATTGTCTTTGGGCCACAAATACTGTGACATCTCTTTTATAATCGCCCAGTCCGCCTTCCTTTGCTCCTTGTTTGTTTTATCATCAAGGGCCAATGGATCTTTTCTTGCCGTTGTCGGTATGGCAAGAGGAGCTTTTTTCGCCGTCTCAGGCGTCGACCCAGATATATCGTCCGCTGATTTCGCATTTCTTAAAGATTGGCTCTGAATAGCACTGCCTTTGGGAATGTCTTTCAAGAGTCGATTGGTGCTTGTGAATACCCTGAGGCCTACCCCCGGCTGTGCCCATCGTGGATGTCGCAATGAAGCTTTTGCATATATGCAAGAAGCTCCATGGAAGCTGTGTAAGCTTCGGAAGCTCATCGTAAACTAAATCTATTCTCACTGCCCATAGATCATCGACTGCGCATGCCTCAGCTATTCCAAGAAGACCCCCATGTATAAA